GCAAAAGGTGGCGGTAATGCACTTATAAGTCTGCGATCCGCCGTAAAGCAAGAAGAAGATGCGTCATGTGCCGGCTGAAGAAGACGACGCGAACGCGCTCAGGACAGTTCGGACATTGCAGTAAATCAGAGGTAAAAAACTCAAACACTGTACTGTTCAGTTTCTTGCACAGACTGATCGTTTCGTGTCTTTACACATATTCCCTTAGGTTGTTTATTAGCATGACTATTATTAACATATTGGCTGTTTATTAGAACTTATAAAGCATGACCATATTCTACATCACTAATTCTACCCAATACCTAAACTACCTTACTAACTATTAAAAAGCAGCAAATTAGGAGTTTGAGGCAAAAGTTAATGCGAGAATTAGGCCCTTAACCTTGGCTGTTGGGTGGTTATTTAGTGTTCTGTAACTGTAAAAGTGTAACCTTTAAGTGTAACACATTTTTCAAGGTCATTTAAATATTATTTATTTAGAAACCTGTTTTTGATGATCGTTAGTATAATGAAATACATTATACATTTCTTTCCTATTTGTTATTAGCATGAACAGCCAGCGTTTTGTCTTATTTTCTTTTTGTGACTGTTTAGTAATGCCTAGTCATTGAATGGATTTGTCTTTTGTTCAGAATGCATATAAAAATATATGAAAAAAATTTTATATAAAAATATATAAACATTTTTTAAACCAAGTTAAAAATTTAGAAAAAAAAATTTAAGGGGAAAGCTTTTTTTTTAATATATAAAACTAGCATCAATCAAACAGCAAAGCTAAAGGCATGTATGTAGTGTTATGTAATTAATTGCAGCAATAAGACAATGTAATGTAAAAAAGCACTTTGGACTAAATCTGCGTCTGGACCATCCATAGTGCGACGAGAAAGACTTCCGAGGACCGTCGTGGAGGAGGCAGTTTCCTCGACGGGACATCCACGGGATCAGCATGATGCCGGGTTCAGCAGAGACCCTGCCCGCCGGCTTTCGCCTCACTGCCACCTCCGCACACTCACGCAGACTGCCACCAGAGGGTGAGACGCACACAGTACCGTTCAGAGCGGATATTCACAAACACTGTCCAAAGAGTTTTAAAGCAGTGTGAGACACAAGCTATGTTTGGGATGGGATAGCGGCATTGCGCGTACTGCTAACTAGATATTTATTTAAACAATATGAGAATCTGTATACTGATTTGAAAAAAAAAGTGGAGTAGATGATCCACTATAAGAAAAGAGCATATACTGTGCTCTGAAATGTCTCTTTTGTACATTGAAGACTGGGTGAACTATCCCATAAATTAATATTTAGGCAAATACAATATGTAATGAGTGTATTTTATACAGATTTTCTTTTCAAAAGTGAAACATTGTACGAGTAGCATGGTGTGACACCATTCCAAACATAGTTGGTTACACACAGACTTCACCACAAGAGGGTCAGACAGAAGTAACAGATATATACAGTACTGTACACACACAGACACACTGGGTTGACTGTGTTTCTGTTGTTTTTTTCTTCTGGACTGCTGCTGGGTAGTCCTGTATGAGGCGATGGACGACAGTCCTGACGACATGTATTTGGACTGGTTTCAAGGTCAGACACGACAGAGCCTCCAACCGTGTGGCATTCCCGACCCCGTCCCTACAGTGCAGTGTACTCGTACCCCCTTGAGTGGTCTCAGTGTGTCCCGTCCTTTCTTAACTGTCAGATATAACCAGCAGGTGGATGCAAATAGAGAATTGGAGCAGCCTTGCGCCAAGCAATTAGCATTCTGGCCTTTTGCAGACATCAGACTCGAGAGATGTGGTGGTTAAATACAGTAGATTATCAAAACAGTAAAGCAGGGACAGGAATTCACATGGCAAGATTTAAAGGGTGGTTGATTAAGATTTTTTACCGTTAGTGAGCACGTTTACATGCACACCATTCTTTCTTTACTGCAAGACGTTTGCTCGGTCTAGATGCGCTTAAATCTGCACTAACGATGCGTTCCTGTCACGTATCGCACATGCGCACTTCAATAAGCCGACAGAAAGCGGGTTATTTCGTTTACATGCCGTGCGAAATCGGAGTAAGAGGCCAAAAACTACCTGTTGCGACCGGTTTATGCTTACGCCGTTTATGACCTTACTACGATAAAAGAAAACGGGTTACCGCGTTTATATGACCAAGTGCGTTTTCGGCTTAAACATAATCGGCTTAAGAACGTGCATGTAAACACGCTCAGTGTGTAATGTTGCTGTTTAAGCATAAACAATATCTGCCATTACGATGCTGAAAGTTCAATGCAAACGGAGATATCGTCTTTTAAAATTATGGCAGTTTAATGCCTACAAAAATGGCTTGTAGGGAATGCAACGAGTTACTTCCCAGGTTGGTGACGTCACAAACCCTGCCCCTGGGAACATGCAAAGAAGGGGGTGAGGCCATGCTGCGCTGCTTTAGAGAAGAGGAAGAGTTGTTGCCATGCTGGTAAAAATCTGTTCATATATGAATTGCGATTCTGTCTTCTAACGATTCTAATGGATTCACAAGTTTCAAA